TAAGAAAGACGAGGAGAGGGGGGGGGGGGTGGAGACCAAGAAAAAAAACCCCATCAAAGTTGGAGAGCTGAGACATTAAGAGGAATCTGAGATCCTGTGTGGACTCAGTGGACCATCACAAATCCCAAAAAGAGGAAAAAATCATTTAATCACTATTTGGGTAAGTATGACACAGAGTGTAAATGAGATGAATGAATGAATAAATGAATGTCAGAGGGTCAGATGACACCGTACAGAGTCTATTGCTATTAATGAGCTTTTATTAAGCTCATTAATAGATTTCTGTGACAGCAAATTCAGAATGCATGGAATAAAACATCAAACTGCAGAAATAGGTTTACATTAAACACAAAGTTTATATGGATTAGGAGTGATGAATAAACTCGAGCTTCAAACAGCTAATAAAAGGGATAGTTTTACTCAGTCACCCGGTTTGCACTGTTAGTACACCTTTAGGTGGAGGCTGGTAAGCCTTCATGTTTATTAGTATTACAAAAGGTTGGGTTTGCGACTTATGTAGATCTGCCATTTGTTTAAGCTATTGATGATAGCTACATTATTTATGATTGATAAATTTCATTTTCAATATGATGAATTTTCACTTCACCATAGCCTTATTGAAAACAACCAGCCTTCACTCAGTAGAATTCAGCATACAACTGTTGAGCAATAAATTCCAGGGAAAACGTAGGTCTAATATCGATGTCCGACAGTAACTTTATGGTATATTTCTAGCACGAAATCATCAGTAAGACTTAAAAACTGATTGAAAGAAAATAACACACCCCCATCAAAAGGGTTACGGTATAGTATTTAGAAGTCCCTGTACTTTTGTGACATTCATTTGCATCTGTATGAAACCTGTGAGACGTCGCACTATGTTGGCTGACTCCACAAACTCGGCCCCAAACTAGGACGTTTGTTATGTAATGTAACCCCAGATTTTATGAGTACAGACAGAGCCCTATATGCAGAAGTACTTGGGGACCACACAGCAGGAGGATATGGAAAAAGTCTCTTTAGTATTGCATGAGAACATGGAATAAAGCCAATGGCGATAGCCTTAGAGGGTAAAGCCTATACAAAATAGAACTGAAAGTCTGACATCACAAACATCGACCTCCCTGGTGAAAACCAGGCCTAAAAAAAATAAAATAAATCAACATTATTCAACCCACCCAACACACACACACACACACACACACACACACTTCTGTGCACAAAACATCTGCACATATTATGTGCTTCTGTGAACCACTATTATAACTGGACCGTTGTTTAGATGGTCGAGAAGGGGTAATGTTAAAAAAAAAAAACAAAGACTGGAAAGCAGTCACTGCAGCAGTCAGTGTCATTAGAAACAAACATGATTCCAGATAAGGGATGCTAACGACGGACACTGACAGATGTTTCAGTGAAGGGATGATGATTTGGAGTAAATTACACTAGTGATGTCATTATCATTAGCCATCATACATCAAGAAATATTACTCACAGGGCAATGTGAAAGAAAACAGATGAGCACGAGAAAGAGCTGGAGCTCTTGAGATTCTGCTGGTCTTTTCTTTTTTTTTACATTTCTCTAAGCTAAGAATAAAAACCCTCCCTTTAACTTTCACTTGCTCAATTAAAGCTGATCATTGGCCAAAGGCAGAATATCATATATACATATGATCGGTTTTCAGTTCAATATAAAGAGATTTTCTCTTTGTCTGTTTTACTGTAAATAACACAACTACCAACCTTTCTGAAGTAAATACGTCAGACATGGTTGAATGGCATCCCATCAGGTTACTTTAACCCAATATTTTCCATCACTGACAATTTTTGTAATGAATGGCAGAAAAATCTGAAGGCTAGCCATCATTTTGACAGATTAGAAGACAGATGGTAATCTACACTAACTTAAAATTAGGCTGCTAAAATGCCCAGTAATTTCTATGGTGTTGATAAACAAAGTGAAAAAGAGGAACTGATGTGTTGGATGAAGGACAACTGAGACCATACTCAATGCATCTCACTATCGGGCGCTGCCAGCATGTTGAGGAGTCACGGACTGGAGGCAACAGAGCACGTCTGTGACCACAACAGATCACAGAAGGGTGCAGCTGTGCCACTGGCAGAAGGAGCACATGCAGCAGATCCTTCCTGGTGAAGTGAGTACTTCAGGATTGGGAAATCCTACTTTCAGAGCAACCTACATTTACTTCAGGAAAGAAATGTTCCTGGTCTTGAGAACTTTGGTTGAAGTGAAGCTGGCAAGTCCAGTCTCCAGTTCGGCAACAAAGCACAGGTTCAGCTTTCAGATCAAAATGATAAGGGCCATGAGAAACCTAGTGACGTTCACGTCGGCAGCAGGCTAATACTAGAGCACGTCAGCTGAGTTCAATTCAATTAGCCTAACTTCATGTAAATAGGCTTTTCATATTTTAATGGTAGACTAATTCTCTCATTTTGTAAAATTGCACTGTTCATATTTATTTGTTTAAGCACAATGGCCAGTGTTTTTAGTGGTGCTGACATGAAGAGTGGCTGCACAAAAGCTCGTTCTGTATAATAATTACAAAAATTTTTTTTAAATTAAATGCTATTAAATCTCTCATCATTAAAAAAAAGAAAGTTAAATTGATGTGTAATAATAAATTGACAGAATCTTTATGACCCTGTCCATCAAAATGACAACGAGAAAGTCTAACGTGACCTCTGCATCCCATTAATGTGACGAAGATCGAACGCACATATACTTTACCTGTTCCATCTCCTGTATCTTGTAATCTTTGGTCTGAAGGATCTCCAACACTTTCCTGTCCTTAATCTCAGCTTTGTGCTTCTCACTAGGAGTAAGAGGAAAGGAGCAGGTTTATACACTTATTTGCTATTAAAGCAGTGCACTACACAGGGCTTCCCCACCAAGTTGTAAACTTTTCTGTTAAGCCCACTAGCACCTCTTTTATCATAATGAAGGGAAACAAAAACAAAGCATCAATTGGGGACCTGTTTGTTTCAACTGCTTCAGGGCACCAGCACCCTCCCCCCCCAATTCCCTCTACTCATCACTTGCTCCCATCTTCAAGGTCTTTTCTCTGGTCTCTTTGCCTCTTCTGATCAGCCCTCTCCCCCAGTAGACACTAAAATAAATATCTGGTGTCCCTGGAGGAGCTGGAACGCAGGCTGGTCTAGCTAAAGCTCCTCATATACTGGGCTGTGTTCACCATGTCCTGAGCAACCAACCAATCACTCTACAAGATCCACACAGGAAGGGGAAGGAAGGATGAATTGTGGTTCCCAGTGGGCACCAGCATTTGGCTGGAGTCAACAGAATTACCATGTCAATATTCTTCTGCACACTGGGTGAGATACAATACACATACACTCTCTGGTTGCATGTTCCCCCACCAGTCTCAATGGACCAACATACTTTGATGGGTTTCCTAAGGGGCTATAAAGGAACTGAAGAGGGTGTGGAGAAGGAATGAGAGGCACAGGTATCAAGCAACTGCAACATGCTGCCTCAGTGTGTTTTCCCCCTATTAAGGGTCTACTAACAACTGACAGACCTCAGAAAGTATGTGATATGCACCCAAGATAGAGAAAATTTCCTTCTAATCTATCCCCAAAAGAAAAAACTCAGTAAAAACTTAAATACTGAATAAAGTTTTAAACTAATTTCAACTACAGTTGAACAACAAGTAGTGAAAAACAGAGTTCCAACTGCAATGACACCTGCACAAAAGACAATTTAAAGGTTTTTTTTCCTAAAAAAAGAGGAATACTTTTCATTTATCCAGTTGTGCGTCATTAGGATTTGTCTTTTCTGAAAGTTCCCATGCTACCGTTTTTAGTATATCTAAACCACACTGAAAAAGAGGTCATATTCAATCTCACAATTTATCCAATAAAGACAAGTATTTGGCAGGAATGTTCTCACTGACCAGAAAGGGAGCAGCAAAAGAAGAGTGTTTCATTAAAAGGGTTTCCATGGTTGAACTGCTAGACCGGGGATAAGAAGGCTTAAATCAGCATCTGCACCAGATTCTGTCGTAACCCCAGCAGAATGCCCAAGGTGCCTTACACACCCCTTAACCAACTTTCACACATATTTCTCTTCTCTTGTGAGATAAAGGAAGTTTCAGCTGTTAAGCTTCCCAGGTAGCACTTTGAAAGATGAATCTACTCACCGCTCAACCACCAAACTAACAGCCTGGGTCAAGTCTGGATTTGCCACTTGCAGGCGTTTCCATAGAGACCACACAAACTCTTTGTCTGCCTGTGAAAACAAAGGATTCAGTGAGTCAACAGCTGCTACTCTTAATTGAGAGCTTGTGATTATTTTATCTTAAAATGCAGTGAGGCCTACAAGGAAGGTCACAAAAAATCTCAGCATTTCTCACTAAAATAAATTATATAGGATCCTCAATGACATTATATGATAGCAGGGGAAGCCAAACAATAACTAAAACATCTTGTACAAAACTGTTTTGACATGGCCTGCCTTCTCTAATTATGAGGCTCTCTTAACCGGAATCTCCATCACTGAAATGTGGCCTTCGACTCAAGGGGAGCAGGCATTGACACTTGTCATTATGAACTATTTATGACTGGGGAGAGCAGGGATCTAAATCAAAACACAGCAGTCGAGCTTGCATTTTCTTTATTAATCAGTTTCGCTCTGGATATGTTTTCCACTATAGCTCCAAAGTAACTAGCCCCAAAGAAACTCAAAACTGATGACAGAGAGAGTCATTTTTAAGTAGAAAAACACAGCAAGTGCCTGACACATTTCCAATTCAAATTCAAACATTTTTAAGCCACATTACATTTAATGAGCGACATCTAAAAACTACATTTTCTGACATTAAAAGACAGAATTATACCAAATTGACTTAATATAAAATTATCTGATAAATTATGTTCACATCATCATAAGATAAAAGTCATCCCTCCCACTGGTATCTACTGGTCTCCAATTAGTACATGAATTTTAACCCCTTTTCAAAAGTGTCTTATCAATTATTTACTGAAATGGCAGAAGCAGACCTTGACAAGACCATAAGCTGAACATATAAAGTGGAAGGACTGTGAATCTCTGTCTCTATATCCATCTGCGTGTATACAGAGTAGGAGCAGGGTGAAGAGAGATAGAGATCTCACCAAATCAACCCTGCAATGCAGCTAACGATGGAATTAAGAAGCATGGTTGACTTGAAATAGGTGGTCTCCCTCTGACTACCCTTTGGCTGCCATTAGCTGATCCACAGACAAGTGTTCAGTCAGGACCCTCATCAAAAGGTCTCCTCTGCCTATATGTACTTAAAGATGCAATGAATGTGTGTTTGATGATTGCTGAATTATTCATTTTGAATCTAGACACCAAAACACCATCGGCTAAACATATCAAAGAGGGCCACTGGAATTGAGCCACAAATTAATAAAATTATCATGATCTAGAAGGAACATTTGCTGACCGACAGATCAGACTATTTGTAGTTAATGGCCGTCCTGAAGTACGTCTTGCCAGTGACTAAGACATCAATGGTATTCAAATGCAACTATTTAAATAGTAGCATGCACAACTAAAGGTCCCTATTAGATGGAATCACTGACTTTCTACTCTGGACAAGACCACCAAGGATGGTTTCTATGACAGTTCGAGGTAAGGCAGCTGTAGATGTCAGTCTGAAGTGAACAAACTACCACTGGAAAACCGGTAGCATTATGATGTAGTACATTGCAAATGAAAGAAACATTTTAAGACAAGTGTTAGAGTGAAAAGTTTCTCTCATTTGCATATCAAAATGTTTTTAGGGCAAAGACCAACTTAGTGACACTCACACCAGTTAAAAACATTAAATGAGATGGAGAACTGTTTTAAGATGATATTCAATTTGCAGTATGGAATTTGTCTAGAGTCAAAGTGTCATACCTTTATTTTGCATTTTCTTAAAAAATATCCCCTAATTATAACAATTCATTACATTATCCCAACACTGGAAACGCCATAAGTTAAATTAAATCATCACTCTCTGCTGCAAATATTTTGCAATATTTTTGCAGTTTTTTCAAAACTAAAAAAAAGGACTCAGGCTCAAAATATGACTAAATTCAGAAAGTTAAAATCAAAACTCACATTCAACTTTATACACAGGATAAGTAAGTTAGGTGGTATTTATATATAGTAACCCATCACTTGCTGTATCACACAGCTGTCCATCTACCTGTATGGCAAGGTACTGTGGATATGCAAAGTGAGAAACACTGAGTGCAGTTCACTCATGTTATTAGACACCACCTGATGGTGACTATGCAAGGACATCCTCCCCTCAATCACTGGCTCTCTAAGAGGAGCTGAAAAGCTCTCAGACCTGCTCTTTAGCACTTTTATGCATCTCTGTGTTTGTATTTATTTGGACAAATAAAAAGGAGGGTCAATTATTTGAAAAGTTCTCTGGAAATAAATATTTGCTGCACTAACTCTCTGAAAACAGATATGCTTTGCAATTTCAACTGCTATTCATAAACCTCAGAACTATAATCATGATTTCATTCATTTCAGTTAACATTAATGGAGCTGAAACAAAAACAGCCAACCATGGTCACTTCTAATATGCATTGGATTCTCACCAGAACTCCATATGTTAGACTTAACTACATTAAACAATTTAGACAATTTAACTCACTGATTAGTCAATAAACAGAAAATGAATCTGCAACTACTTTGATAATCAAATAATCCCTCTATATCTTAAGCAAATATGTCATATATGTTCTGATATTTTACAAATATTTTATGCACCTAAAATATAAGGGTTTGATGTTTTTCTTTGTCACACACAAAACAATAATGGGAATTACTGGGACTGTTGGTTGGACAATAGGTCATTTTGGTATGTGGAGAAATTACAGAATTACAGAAAGAGCAAAAAGTGCAATGCAGTTGCGTGTAAGTTGCATATCCATCCTTGATATATATACACTCATACACACCTGGCATTGCATCAGCTCGTCTGATAAACTCTTGACTTGTTCCTCCAAAACCAGGATACGAGTATCGTCTTTGAAGGACATTTTGGCACTGGAACAGAAGCAAAATAACAAGTGAGACGCGTTTGGAGCATCCCTTAACAGATATAACACCTGTAGCAGTGGACAGTACGATAAAAAAAGGGAAAAAAGTAGCAAGTCGTCATGTTAAGACCGTTCGTATTTGATCACTGTGAATCTGGAAATGGATGCAACTTATCTTTTGAAAGCAATATCGACAGGGGATTTGTATTTTAATCTAACGTTAGCTAAGTTAAAGCACCATAGCAAATTTGCATGATGATACAAGCAAGCTCACCTGATGCTCTTTAGTATAAGTGTAGACAGTTTGTTTCTTAGCGACCTGCCTGGCTAACCTACTAATCAGGGACCTATCATACAACACTGTTATCAGGAGACTACCACAACATTGAGATACTGCAGTTAGCAAACATAGCTAATGCTAACGTTAGCCACTAAAACATTCATGTTGACCGTTTCTTGTGAGCTGTTTAAGATCTTCGGAGTAAAGTATAATTCCCCGAACAACCTCAACACGTACTTCAACGACAGTATAATTAACCATCCACTGAATAGTAATTGTTGATTTTTTTTTTTTTTTACAAAGCCTAAATAAACTTTGTCACTGAATCACAACGTTACCAATAACTACCGAGATACAGTTCTCCTTTCAAAGAAGCCCGCTGTTTCCGTTTATGTCCCTGCCTTCACGTCATTTCACGACAGTTACCATTCATCTACGACATCCTGCTCCGAATCAACGTTGTGTTGGTACTTTTAGTGCAGCTACACATTTGTATTATCCATATTATTCATTTTTAAGAATATACAGAACTTTTCAAGAATACGGTCTTGAAATATCAGAAGACCATATCATATATAAATCATCAATCAATAATAATCTTTATTGCCAAGTATGTTAAAATACAAGTGTAGAATTAGCAGTAGTGTAATTGAAAATCATATGGAATAATAAAATGTTACACAAATCACTAGATAAATATCACAGTGCCAAAATTACAATAACATTCATAAAAAGATATTGTAAAAACATTGATATCAGACACGTGTATGCACAGTACAGAGTCAAAACCCTATTACAGATGTATGATGGTCATTTTTACTACAAAGAATGAGGGTTCCCCTGCGTCTGCAAGCCCAGTTTTACAAGGCTATAAATCTCTTTTGTTATATAAAAGCTCAACAGCCACATGAATGACTGTAAAGAGGAATGGCATTGATGTGATTTTGATCTTTATATGGCACTTTATGTTTAAAATGTTGTTTTCTTTTAATAGATACACTTATGTCTTACCCCTGTTGATATTTGCCTTGTTTTATATGTTTTTAATGATCCATTGAATCTTGACTCCACAGTGGGAGCCTTAAGAACTGAATTAGAAGCAGGAAAAGATGGACAAAGATGAGTGTTTGACATCTGTTTTCCTGGTGAGACAGGACAACTCCATATTGTGTAGCTAATGTACTTAAGCCAGACTTGGTGCACAGCATAAGAGAGTAAAATGAAGAAATATGAGGACTGGCTCTCCTTTTCAGTCTGAGAAATGTTAGTTCATCTGCTCACTGTCTCTCTCTTTCTCCCTCCCTCACACACACACACACACACAAAGAGAAAAGATGCAATTGACTTAGCATGATTAGGCTGTTCCTTGACCCACAAACAGTGCCTCTCATTAAGATCCTCATTTGCCAAACAATTTTAGAGGCAGTAGACTGGTACATAATGTGCAACATCTGCCTGCCCCCTGTTTTCTGTTCAGACACATAAACTGACATGGTATCGGTAAATAAGCGACCCACACGATCTCTCTCTCTCTCTCTCTCTCTCTCTACACTACATTTGCTACAGGGTTTGGGGTGTTGTCCCTGTGGTTGCACCTCTTTCTTAACTAAGATACAGGTCATATGACAGTATATAATCTTAGTTCTCTCTGAGGAAACTAGTAATTGAAATGCATCATCTTGCGACTATCCCCTCTTTCATAATCCAACGCAAGTAATTTGGCGCCCGACACTTCTACTGGCTCACATGTTCTACACAGGCATGTTGTACCTTGTTTTGACCATGACTGCTGCTTCTCTTTTTATGTCTAAAGCAGCCTCTATCTCCCTCCCGGTTTGTTGTCTGTCCCACTAATTGAACACTTTCAAATCATCAATGATGTACTTCCTGCATTACAAAATAACTAAATACATAAAATAATAATAATAATTTTTCACATATTCAGCCTCTATCTAGAAGCTTTTATTAGATATATAAAACAGGTCACACACCATGATAGTGATGACTTCAAATGCACATTCAAAATGCAAGTTATTTATTATTTTTCTTCTTTAATCATCATGAGGTATAGATAGGGTACAGCATTATTGACATTAGGCTCTTTGTTCAAAACCACATTATCAGGAGATGTATTAAAAGAAAAGGGTAGTGTGAATACCTTAATTTAATTGGAATTAAGCATTACACAGAGTTGTTGTATAAGGAATCACTGATCCACTGTCATAATAAGAATAATATTGTAATGCAAAATGAAGAGTGAATCCTTATTTCAACACTCAATCATTAGCTTGTCTCCAGGCAGTCATGGGAACTCTGGAGTTGTGACTAAAAAGAGACTCATGCTGCAATATTTATAGCCATTTTAAGTTTAATTGCAATCTGTGGTTGTGACATCTGTTGATATAAATCACAGCTCTAATAACAAACAAGTGATTAAAGTCTTCCTCTGATGGAAATGCTACTTATTTGTCATAACGAATATCACTTATAACATTAGTTCATACCGTATGTGTAACAGAGTGTACATGTACACTCAACAGGTCTTCCTAATTTGTTGTGTCGCTGAGATTATATGCCCTGCCCAACCAAATGAAATACTCCGTCATTATAATTGCACAGCATGGTTTAACTTCTTTAAAGGATACCACAGAATATGAGTAACTCAGACATATAGCAGAAAATATAAACAAAATGTAAACCCACTAGTGTTTAAAGTTGACTTTGCAGGCCTCGCATGTCTAATTGCCCAACTTTTAAAATGTGAGGAGCCACCCCTTGAAACAAGATAGCTCTTGCATTGACAATCCCAGTAGTCTCACATCTGTTCTGCTTCGGTGAAATCACAGGGAGGTTCAAGTGCTAGGCAGCATTTAATCGGCCAAGGGAAAAAGTGACACAGAATTGTGATCATGCAAATGTAACCGGCATGAAAAATTCAAGAACCAAATGACAAGCTGTGCTGATGCTGACAGAGGAAGGAAGAGAGGCACATTCCGGGGAAAAACATGACACTCCATGGAGAATTGTAAAAGCACAGTCTCCGCCTGCCACCTCAGGTAAGCGTGGGGATACTGTCTGCATTAATGTGGCCTAGCTTTGATGCAGAGGGGGGAAAGGAACCTGAGAACTGCAGGAGAAGACAAGAGATATTAAAGAGTCACAAGTCCCCAGATTTAAAGGAACACTGATTGTGCAAATTGAAGTTGGGATTTAAAACCTGCACAGTGTTTAGTAGAACATCACTCCCCCCTGCATGGAAATGAGACAAGCTCCAACATGAAAACTCTCTGAACGCAGTCACTTTGTAACATGTTTTATGGCTCTATTTGTTGAGTCTCTAATTGTTTCCTGTTTAATAAGTTTAGATAATAATAAGCTTGTATCACACAACATGCCTTTTGAAATCGGTTGGCCATCACAAAGCTTTGAAACTGCAATAAATTCATGTTCAATTTCTGACATTTTAAGACTTGTTTGTGCACATTTCTATTCAACAAATGACCCAAGGAGGGGTATTATATCCCTCACTGGTGTCTGTGGGAGAATTATTAGCCACCCCTGACCTCAAATATGAGCTATCCACATGCTGAATCCTGTGAGACCTTGGACTGCCTTACAAAACCCCAGGACAGAGAAAGCATTGATTACTACTTCTCTTCAGCCTTTAGACATATGATATCTGTACACCTAAATCAGACAGCTCTTGCTCAAAACCTTCCCTCACTACAAACCTTCCGCTCTGTCTTTGCCATCATGTGTATTTCTGTATGCATGTGATGTCGCTGACCTCCCATGAGTCCCCCTGCCACATGCTGTGTGTGCACAAGCCTCCTTGTTCATGTCCTAAACCCCAGCCCCAATGAGATGGCGTGGACCTCTGTTTGACTCCCATCTGATGACCTTCTGGTCCTATCCTCAACAGACAAGGGCTCTTATAAAGGAGGAATTGATCCACACAAGACCCACCTCTTAGAAGCAGCAGCATAGACTCTGTGTGTGTGTGTGTATCCATGGTGCCATGAACCTCAGGGACACACTCACTCATGGTTCACCCAGCTAGTCTGCCATCTCAACCCCAGTTAGCCCCTCTGGATGTGTGGGAAAAAGGAGTCAGACTATTTCCCTTGGGCTTTTGCTGGAGAGCTTGTCCTTTGCTTGGTGAAATGGTAAATTAAGGTAGTGAGGCTGTGTTTAAGTTCATATTTCCCTTGACTATGAGAGAGGAGACCAAGGACATGGGACATTGATCGCCCTGAGTAAATGTTGTCCAGTCGGAAAACAGCTTTTAGATGAGAAAGGTATTTGTCTTATTTCCAACACCTGTGCTTCCTTCTCTGTGAGTTAGTAAAGATCAAAGTAAGAAACTGAGACATAGAACTGTCTCCTACAGTTTTAATTTATTGTTGCTTATTAAATCTTTTTGTT